TGACCCTCCGGGTTGAAAATTTTCGGCTGTTCCGTTGTATTGCAAACTCGTTGGAGAATGGTTGTCTTCCCCGCGTTGGCGCGGCCAATGATGAGGACGCGAAAGCGGTTGGTGAGGTTTCGAACTCTGCGTGCTCGTCTCTGTTGTCTTTCTATATCCTCTGCGGCCTGGGATTCAACATTGGAAAGAGACATTTGTCGCTGGGATGCCTGAGATGGTGGAAGTGGTGAAGAACCAAGATAAGCGCCACGCAGTGTATTGTTTGGTTATGCTGGGTCAGCCACTCGAGTGACGTCACTGACTCGCTTTTCGTTCTTCCCAAGTTCTTCCGTTCGTACAACTTGATTCCCTTGACTCAATTTCCAATATATACACACGTCATTGGCTCCCCAACTGAGCTTTTCAATCTGCCCACGACGATCGTGAAAGCGCGCAAGTTTGTTGCCAGATTTGAACATCAACCAAGCGGCGAGGGAGTGCGAGGGAGAGGGTGAGTACAAATCTCAAGTACTCAAGGTTAACTTACCCTGAAGTTTTGTTACAGTCCAGGTGAATGCCCCTTCGAGTCGCCATTCGAGCTCCAGCAGTGGCATGAGTTCGCCACTTAGTATACACAAGTCTCCTCGGCAGCGGGCTTCTGTCTAGGACGTCATTTTCCTTCATTGACCACGTACTAGAGGACTTAAACTACGGTGACTGAAGACCCGGAAGGTTGAAGAAGTGGCTGTAACATGAGCAGTATGAGACTAAATCCTACTTGGTACGATCATCAGCTACAATTCTATCGTGATGTGCCATCCCATTTTGCCAATGAAGTCCCCGTCTCAGCCAAGATCACTGTTCTCCCCCATTTTCCCTTCTCACACCCCCTACGCATTTGTCCGTGAACCGCGACGTCCGTGTAGGTTTCCACTCCACTGGTGGCTTGAAGGCGTACCTTCGATCTTGAGTATGCTCCCCACCATCAGGAAAGAAGGCTGCATGAAAGCCTGTAAGCAATGTGGATCCGCATCGAATGACACAACTCACGCTGTCCCTATCAAACTATGTTCGCCCTTTTCTTCATTGCCGTCAGGGGTAGCGCGTCGTTCTATCGTCCAACAGCAAGCTAGCCACAGAGAAATAACAGAACTACGCCGCACAACCCCAAGAACTGGATGTATGCTTACCTTTTTCCCCAGTTCCTCTTAGATGGGGTTGCTACCACTTGGGCGGGCAAGCCCTCAACGAGACTTTGTTAGTGTACGATTAACGACTTTGCCCTGGCTCGTTTCAAGCATTCAGTGTATCCACAGCCAAAGAGCGTTTGCACCGCTGAAGAGCGACGGTGAGCAGCAAATGACGCTTTGCTTCATAACTCAATTTCCACACGTTCGAAGCACCTGTCTCTGGGACGCCGCACTGGGAATACCCCTGCGATCCAAACTCGAACGGAGGTGAATCCGGACAGGGCTGGCAGCTGCTATTCCTCGGTTCTAAGGAGTCGGAGTAGTTCTGTTCGGCGAGACGTTGCAATGAGTATTCAATCGGGTTGTCCTTTGCCTTCGTTCTAGAATAGAATTCAGTAATTACATTAGTTACGACAAAGATACTTAGTCACAAACGAGATTGAGTACCGTTCACAATGATTTTGCAAGTTGAATTTGAGCGGAAAAGGCTGTATATGATCAAACACGACCGTCCTGTCAATCAGAGTGGCAGCTATTGTAGGGCCGATCTGTGCAGGAGGGGTTTAGGGAAATGCGACATAGGCATAGACAACGTACCACCGCGATTCCAACTCTTCAATCCAATTCAAGTCCTTAATGCAAAGGTTTTGTTGTTCCAGTTTGCCGACGTCATGGCTGGTGAAGTCCTTCCAACCAGCCTCAGACAGGGGTTTGGAGCTGGTGGGGTGGTTGCACCAGAATCGACGTTCCAATTTATGTTTCCCGTTGCCCTGATAGAAAAGCCAAGATGAGGATACATAGTTCCTACATCACACTCGACCCACCTAGCCGCACAGACCAGCTTCTTCCGTTCCGCGCTAAACAGCACTGCTCGTCTCCGTATATCTGGCCACTGAATTTGAAGCTGGCGGTGAGAAACACTTGATTGAAATTGGGTCGGTCAGTCCGTCCGTCTTGAACCATGAGTAGCGCTTTTCTGGCAGCCTGAAAAGTAACTGATTGATAGATCAGATACGAAGAGCTCCCGTCGATGAGAGCTTACCATCTCAGCACGTTGAACTGTCCGGGCCATCGGGTGTCGTGACCGTCGTCGTAATCCTGAGTCTAATGTTTTGGTAAGCATACAGACAAGTGAGAACGGATATAACAGACCCACCTCGACTTGAAACATCGATGTCCTGCTTGTAAAAGTATGATCTATGACGGCAATGAGATGAACGGTTTGCCCCCCTCTTATTGGACACGTCATTTTGGTGAAACACTTCAAAAGGGCGTAGGCCCCTACATACGACGATTCCGCAATCTGAGCCGATCATGGGCGTCGAGTTGTACATCCTTTCTGGGGTGAAATTTTGTCGCGACTGATTATCAGAGAGTGTGTTAGACTGAGAGTTTATATCTAAAATGATTAGCTTCGTACGAGGTAAAAAGCTCGAGAAGAACTCACAAGCAGTGCGTACAGAGTGAAGATGCTAGTTTGTATGAGCGCCAGGCTGGCAGTGCCTAACACGTAACAAGTTGCAGCCACGGCTTATGGGAAGGGAAAGTTTGCTTCCTTCGCGTATAGTATCGATTCCACACTGGGTAGAAACCTACTATTCCCAATGTGTCTTGGAATACAGGAAAGGGTGCTCGGTTTTGAACCTGAGGCTGGGCCCACAAACATTGTCACTCTGGAGAAGATGACACCGAAGAGTGCATTGCTGGCGGCCTCGATGACGCGCAACTTCACTTTTCGATTCATAACTAGATCAAGAAGTTTCCGTAAAACCGTAAGACCTTACAGGACACCACTTTCACACTTGCCATTTGAACCGAGGGCCAACTTTTGTGAGGGAAGGATATGTCCCACCCAGTAGTCAAGAAATCAGATGGTGGCGAACGCCACGATGTCCCTAACGGCAAGAACAGTCAGCTTCAGAAAAGGGGCGAAGCGCAAGAAACAACTCACCGTAAAGGGCGCAAGATCGAAATTTCCACACACTTGCGGCCACCCCGCTCTGCATCCACGTCGCTGTCTACAAAGCCACAGGCTCATAGAGGTCCTTTATCTCTTTGAACTAAACTCCCCCTACCCAAAAATCTCTCGGACCAGAAGTACCGTTGCTGATCGACGTCTTCACGAAAGTCATGGAGGCCCATGGAGTTTGAGAGTAGGAGCTGAGAACCTAGCCAGGGGCCTTCCTTCTTGAGACCGAAAAGATGCGAAATAGGCGATCGCCGACGAGGCCTGGGACGTAGCGGCAGTAGAGGTCAGATTCAGAGATGGCGGAGAGGTAAGTAGATGGAGCCGGTGTGTCATCATTATGCACTTCTGACGGTGGCAATTTTTCATTGTAAGAAGGAAGCTCAACATTCGAGAGACGAACCTTTGTCACAAGGTTTTCTGTTTGTGGTGCAACTCAAGGCCACGTTAGACGAGGAGTGGATGATAAGGAGGAATCAGTCGTAATTGTTTTGTTGATTGAGTTGTCTAGTAGTAGTCTACATTCACCTGTTCACTACCACCATAGGTCCAAAAGTTGCCTTCTTCGCCGTGAACGTGGAATTTCAGCAAGACGGTATTGCGCATGCTCGCCGATCAAGGCGTTGAGAGGAAAGGACCTTTCCTCTCATCATGATCGGAGTCAGCAATATTTCGCCCGGTACTTAGTCCCACTGAGAGGGAAATTCCGTTTTATTCATTCCATCCCAGTACGCTTTTCAACGATATTCTCTCAATAAGTGGGCCACTAACGTTAAACTTCAACAGCTTAGGTTCAATCGGAGAGGTCTGGGAGAGGTTGCGATGTTTGACGAAGCTCGGTTTTGGCTCGTTAGAAACCCAAGCGACGCCGTGATCATTGACTACGCAAATCTTGAGCTACACTCAAATTGACTACCTATTCCCGTGAGGCTTTATGAGGTGGGTCTTCTTCGGGTTTTCTTCAACCAACTTATTAGATTGATTTTTATGACGAACATTCGCAAGTACTAACACTTGAGACAGGGTCCAAAGAATATTCAGGACAAATTTGGACATATGTACCTCCATAATTGTGGCCATTTGTAAAATAAAGAAGCTGGTGTGCATCCGGAAAACATCAATTGTCAAAATTACAAAATGAAGAACAATAAGAATGTTGAGCACATTCAATTTACATATCTAAACAATTTCTTTGGGAAATAATCTTGGTAGCCATGGCAACACCACTCAGCTGAAGATTATGTTGAAGAATAAAATAACGGAAATGACCACTCGTTGTGCTCAATGTTCTTATTGTTCATCAATTTGAGATTTTGATAATCAATATTTTCGGGATGCACATCAGCTTTATTATTCAACAAGTGTCGACAATTATGGAGGTACCTTTGCCTAGATCACACATTGGACCCTGCCTCAAGTGTAACTGGATGCCAGTAGTAGTACAGCCAAAGAACGCAACCTGGGGTCTCACTACCTCGTTCAAGAGGAGCCGAAGGGCATCAAGGGGAGGCTAGTGGGTTTACGAAACCTTGGGGATGGCTCTTACCGAGATTGTGAGTTCCGCCATGCTCATTCTACTGGCGAAGGTACTTATCCAGAGTTTAGTGTGACACTTTGGCGAACCAAGGTCACTATTGCTATTCTGTGGAAGAGTGCGGGGCGCCTCTCACGACTGTCATGAATGTCAACCCTTTACTACAGCGGATGCGAAGCTCCCTCGGCACAGGGAATCACCCGTTTCGCGGAACGTCCGCGCTCGGGCCTACGTTTTGCAGAATCCCTCAGGGAAAGGTCGACATGAGCCTCGTCATCTACAATCGACGCTTGCCTTTCGAGAAATGCCAACGCCAACGCGACTGATCTTGTCGCGAAGCACATTCTCCGTACGGCGCCGTGGAAGTTCGTCGTGTCACGTTCCAGAAACACGCCTAGTGGTCAGATTTCAATGCCTCGAAGGAACGGGAACGGGGCGACCTCACAATACGTTCTACCGGTTTGCTTTGAAAGTAAGCCTCGTTACTGGCTTTGTTGTGTATGTGCTAACCTATTATACTAGGTCTTGGCTCCTTCCTGGATTTTCACCCAACACGACCCAACACGTACGCTCTTTTTCCTTGGGTTGGTGGTGCGTATTGGGTTAAACTTCTGATCAACATGTTAAGGAAAGCTTCTGATCATTTTGGCCAGAACGAGTGCTGGCACCTGGAACATCAACTGATAGCACTGCAACGACATTCGCGGGCATGAACTACGTCGACGCGCATCTTCATGACAACTTGGGATTATTGTCCTCCAGGTGAGCTGGGGCGACACGTCAAAATTCTATCTACTGACTATTCGTTATGCCTACATAGCGTTTGTTTCCATTCAAGTCACAATTTCACCTTCTTCTTTCAATCCAGAAGCATGTCCGCAACTGGGGGCTTCGATTTCATATCTAGGGGCGGCGCCGCACAAATTCCTAACATGCAATCACGAGTCATATCTCATCTTTCACAAAGTTAATGCATGCCGTAGGTTGTGGAGACCGGAGGAGGAGCACACATGGCTCCGCAGCTCGACACTACTTCCTTCAAATGTGACCCGCTCCTCTCCGTAAGTACGCTTTCTGATATTCCCATTTTCTCTCGCCTCTAACGTAAGTTGTATCTAGATTATCAACTAGCCGCAACGTAGCCTGGCCAACAGTACGTTCGCAACCGAAAGACCTTGGCGTGCGCTGGCACAATTGTGGACTTTGTAGAACTTCCAACCATCATGCGATGCCCTTCCTAAGCACTGGTCTCCGACAGCATGGCGGAAGTCATAGGACACACCTTGTACTCACTTCGGATACCCAAATCACCCTTTGTTATTTTCCGCGGACGCTTCTCGAGGCGATCCCCACCTCAACCGCCCTTTTGACGACGGTCGTGAACAGCTGATGACGCTACTAACCTTCTGTCTCGTTTTTCATTTCAACGGACTCGATAGCAACACTGCTCAAGCGCTCGCAGGTGATACCGTCACATCCTCTGACAGTCACACCGAGCGCCTTATCAGACACCATCACTTGAAACGAGGCTAAGATTTCAGTCTTCACCCATGCCTGCCGTGTAAGCGTGTTCCGAGCGCTAAATACCTCCCTTTCACCAAAACCACCATGTCTACCGCGAAGGGTAGCTCAACGGGAAAGCCCAGCATTGAGATTACAGGTAACCTCCCAGGTTTTAGCCTCAAGTCAAACATCTGACATCCATTGACTAGAAATCCGCGTTTCATCCCAGCACATCCTCAAATCGGTCCAACTTTCGATTGGATCGTTCGAGCGGGAATCACCTTGTCTATTGGATGCAAAGGCTCACGCATTTGAGTTGTCATCCCCCTGGTGAGCCGATGATCATGTATAGCATTGAACGACAAACCTAGTCAACGCAGTCAACTTTTGCCTTTAGAGCCCCTCTATCTGCAAGTCCGATTCCGCGGATTGTTTCGTGCTGCGTCGAAGAGCAAGATACCTCTCGATGAACTGCTAAGTAAGGTTGGCCCCCACTTCTCCGGAAAACAAGGCAAGTACCTCCCTTCTGCAATCGCTCCTGTCTTGCTGATGCAGGACTTTCTACTCTAGAATGGTCAAAATCATTTGACAAGTTCAATGTCGTCCTGAAGTTTAGCCAATACGCAGGGGTGTGTGCATTTCTTTTTCAAACGCAAAAGCGTCCGCCTAATGCGGGTGCTATCGATCTTAGAATGCTTTAACCAAGGCGGAACCTCCGACGAGTGGCGACCTACGACCTACAACGGATGAGTTATTCAAGTTGGTCGAACGGTTAGTCTGCTTAATCTCCGATTACTCTGACTTACCTTACCGCTAGGTTCCGAGTCCTGGTCATCGGCAAAGTGGCCCTCTTATACCTCTATTCTCAGGTATTAGCTCACGGTTCGTTTTTACAGAGTGGTGTAGGGAAATCTTCCCTTATCAACGAATGATTCGGTGTCAAGGATGCTGTGAGGTCACTTCCCCGTCTTCTCAAGATCCGCTCCTAAAGCTTGTCCTTCCCCAGACCGTGGCTCATTCAGAAGCTGGCGTGTCAAATATCAATACTCCGATTATAGCCAGCGAAAACGGAAGATTTGTTCTACACGACAGTCAGGGGTTCGCGAGCATGGAGAGGGTGAAAACTTTCAGAAAGTGGTCGATTTTTTGAAAGCTCGTAAGAAGATGTCCAATGTGAGGGATCAGGTACATGCTGTCTGGTATGGTTACTGCTCCTCGATCACCTGAGTGAACAAGATGATGAAGGTGTTGCGCAGGCTTTGTTTCCCGGTGTCCTTGTCTAAAGGTGACCGTTTGTTCGAGGCTGGGGTGGAGGAATTATTCCGTATGAAGTCTAATGGAGACCTTGGCCCTGGTAGGTTCTTGGTATTCTCTGATCAATGATGGCTCACTGTTTGATGTAGTTTCTGTGATCACCGTTTTTACCAAATATGATAAGTTGGTAGAGCAGGTTGAATATGGTAACAATCTAGAGTTCCACAAACGCAACAAACATTTGGATCGGGAAACCCGAAATGCACGTCTTGCTGAGGAGACAGCAGCACAGTTCCAAGAATTGTGTGTTGGTCCCTTCGAAAAGGTCGTCGGTATAGTCATTCCGCACATTGCCGTCTCAAGTAAGCTACAAGAGACATCTTGTGCCTGTGCTTATACTTGCCAACACAGCCAATGAAGAATACAAGGTTACCAGAAAGATGTTGAACGAGCTTGTCCATCTCACTGCTGACTGTGTTAAAAACACCCTGGCAGTTGACGTTGCTGAAGATGTTGCACTGGTCTCCGCCATCGCCCAACGCGTGAATCCAGCTGTAAAGATCGATGCGGTGATTGCGTGAGCATTCAAACGTTCGTCTTCTCTTGATGTCATGCTGACACCTATTTCAAGGGTTGGGAAGAAGCGTATGAATCTTCCGGCGTGCCCCTTGGTGAAAGTTAAGCTAAGCTACCCCTTTTTTTGTCAGGTTATTGGATGGGTCTCGCAGCTAGCGTGAATTTTCCAGGAAAAACTATAGAAGAATGCCTACGGGTTCTACATACTGATATCGTTGAAGTGTGGAACATTCAAGATGGTTGCGGGGTAAATACTTTAACATCATTCCATCTTCTCACACTTATGGAAACTGTGCTGTTAGTATTTGGAAAGCAAGGAACTGAAAAAGCTAATGTTCGAACTTGTTGGGAATCAATATGACGAGCCGTCAGATCCCAACACGATATTGTAAGTCAATTTTGTCGACTGTGCCACCTCATTTTTTACAAGTTATCAGTCCCCATGCTTATTCGCTGCTTGGTGCCTTGACTATGTTAATTGGGGGTTTGACTGCACCTGCTGCTCCCATTGTGATTCCTATTGTTGCGTCTCTCTTGCTGGCAAAATGGATTTTCGATGTGTACAAGTAATCGTATGTCTTCCTCACTATGCCATGTCAAAATTCTAAGCGGAAAAACCTCAGGGCACTCATGCTACAACGTTTGATGGCGTACATCGTCGACTTCACGATTATTATGCAAATAATTTTTGGCTTGGTGGTGAACGCCCGTCTGCGCCTTTCCCGCCGCTTGATCAAGCTCATCTTCAAGGCCTACAGCATTTCAGACGAAAGGAGCAAAGTTCACAAGGAGATTAAGGAACATGTGAAGCTGGCAGGCCGCTTTGACCAGGATGCAGCTCTGGCGAAGATCATCCAATTGATCAAGGAGTATCAGATGAAACCCGAGATTATGGAGGAGCTACAAAGTGCAGTTAAGGCCTTCGAGAACAATGAGGACGAGGATTGGGGCGTAGGCAAAGCGTGACTTGATTATTCAATTCCCTGTGTACTTTGTTGTCTATGTACACATGCCATAATCCGAACAAAAATGAACCGTGAAGTGTTGAGCTGATGTGTCGAAAAAAGAAATCAAGTGCGCCACTACGTTGAATGAAAAGAAGCCAGTGAGATGAACTTGTATAGGACCAAGAGATGGTGAAATGGAGGATATACATGAAAGGCAGTAACGCAGCTTACTTTCAATGTGGGCTGCTTCAGCTTGTACAGTGCCCTTTCCGGAGTTTCCCTCATGTAGCTCTCGACCAAAAACGTTTCCCTTCTGCACGCGCCAGATGACATAGTTGAAGAGCCCTTAGGGTCCCTAGCAGTCCGCTGATTCGTGTTACGACCAAGTGAATAGAACATCGTAGTCGAAAGGCGAGTATCGACTGTAGATGATGAGGTATTTGATGAGTTCATCGACCGCTCTGTGCAACTATTGCGAGAAAAGCCTGAGGAAAAGGCTCAGAGGTGAATCCGATGATGTATCCCATTGAGGGACATTCGTGAATTCTTGTTTACTGATCCAGAAAGGTGGTGAAAGTTGGTGGGGAACACCCAAGTAAACAAACTATATCTCAAGAACCTGAACGTGAAGGACGGACTCGTAACGTGAAGATTGCGGGGGTCGCCGTGGGATGGCTGGACACTGGATTCCTTGTGAGTCTCTCCAGTTGTTGACCTCGTCATGGATGTCCTCAGGCTCCAGTGTTGTAGATTTTCCCGTTCTCCTCGTCTTGTTCGCAGCTGTAAAGGGCACTGCAAGGCTCGGAATGGTTTGTGGGAGATTGTTGCCGGTTTTGTGGGTGTTCGCTGGGTGCTCGTCAGGTGATCGTTTTGGTAGATTTGTGTGATCGCGCCTCTTTCCTCCATGCACATTCCTCAATGGTCGCAGATTCAGCTATGTCGGAATGCGCAAATGACAGCGACTTCTCGAGGAACAACAGCTCATCGAAAGTCGCAACTCAGGTTTCTATCTTGGTGTAGGTTTTCAATGAACGATATATTGGTTGTTCTGCGGCGGGCAAGGAGCGCGTTGGGGCGTGGTAAGCTCCGCGGCCGTGATACTTGCCGTCGCTCATCCTATTCCTTTTCAGGCTATCGAAGTACAACACAGGGCCAGCCAGGACCCAGGGAGCTACCCAGGTTTGAAGCACCTCGTGGCATCCCTCTGGAAGCGGACTTTCTCTACGGCGGATCTTGAAAGTCGCAGGTTAGATGTCATTCGAATTTACGGTAAGTGAGCTCTTATGCTGCGCACCCGCAAACGAGAATGATTGCGACCTTGCAATCTGAATTTGAGCGGAAAACGCTGTACGTGATCACACAGCGATTGTAGGGCCGATCTGTGCAGGAAGGGTTTAGGCATAGACAACGTACCAATTGCGACTCTTCAATCCAATCCAGTCCTAAATGCGAAGGTTTTGTAGGGGTCCAGATGTTATACCAACCAGAAAATTTTGTAGCTGGTGGGGTGGTTGCATTAGAATCGACGTTCCATTGTGTCGTTTCCCGTTGCCCTAATAGAAAACCCAAGATAAGTATACATAGTTCGTACATCACACTCGACCCACCTAACCGCACAGACCAGCTTCTTCCGTTCCGCGCTAAGCAGCACCACACGTCTACGTAGTTCTGGACGCTGGATATGAAGCCGGCAGTGAGAACCCTCGGATATAATTGGGTCGATCTTGAACGGTGAGGAGCGCGTTCCTGGCAACTGATTGATAAGTCACATATGAAGAGCTCCCGTCCATGACGGCTTACCATCTCAGCACGTTGAACTGTCGGGCCATTGGGTGTCGTGACTGTCGTCGTAATCTTAAGTCTGTTGTTGGTAAGCATACAGACAAGTGAGAAAAGATATAACAGACCTACCTCGACTTGAAACGTCGATGTCCTGCTTGTAATCTATGACAGCGATGAGATGCACGAGTTTGCCCCCTGTTATTAGATACGTCATTTCGTTGAGACACGTAGGCCCTTACATACGACGAACCCACAATCTGAGCCGATCATGGGCGTCGAGTTGTACAACCCTTCTGCAGTCAAGATTTGTCGCGACTGATTATCAGGGAGTGTGTGAGAGTTGAAGTGGGGACGATTCTCTTTATATCTAGAATGGTCAGCTTCGTACGAGGTAAAAAGCTCGAGAAGAACTCACAAGCAGTGCGTACAGAGTGAAGGTACTATTTGTATCAGCGCCAAGCTGGCAGTGCTGCCATTCAAACCGAGGGCAAACTTTTGTGAGGGAAGGGTATGTTGCGTTCAGTGGTCAAGAAGTCAGATGGTGGTGACCGCCACGATGTCCTTAACGGTAAGAACAGTCAGCTTCAGAAAAGGCGGGAAGCACAAGAAACAACTCACCGTGAAGGGCGCGAGATCGAAATCTCCGCACACTCGGGGGCGGGGAAGGAACGAGCTACCTAAATGCCTTCATGAGGTGCTTTAGACAGTGGCAGTTTTGGTAAGTCGTTTACCGCTACTCCAGCAAAGGCAGGTGTTTAGAGGGAGGCAGCGAACTTCCAGCATCTGCTTATTGGTGCAAAATTTCATGTACAACTGACTTGGTCAGGCGCCAGACTCGACGATACAGCAGCATGACGGCTTAGAGTTACAGTGAGCAGTTTAGCGCCGTGAACTTCTACCAATGATTGATGAGGACTTACTAGAGTCCTGACTGGAGCCCCGAGCATCCCACACCACGCGGTTGTAGTCAGATCAGTGCTTCTTTGACGCATGCCCAGTTCGGTATAAGAAATTATCTAAATGACGACCTTTTGATGAGACAGAAAAAACACGGATGCGAGTAAAGCACGTACGTTAAAAAACGGATTGATCTCCAACTTCATGGATGGTGGCAAACTTGAGCTCATGCATTGTTCTTCACACCAGTCGACTGAAGCGAAAGAACAGTCACTTTGAACCACCTACGACCGACGACGCCTGAATGCCGTACTCAAACCTATTGAAATGCGAATATCAGTCTGAAAAGTCAACGTTTCCACTGAAATCGTTGGTACAAACCCCTTGATTTTCCGCAAGTGCGCTGACACCTCATAGTACAAGCCAGAACCAAAGCTCTGCTGAGCTGAAGTTGAGAATGATAGGATCACGCAGGTTCACCATCCACTCAAGCACAACTGGGACGAAGGACTCCAAGCACACTGGAAGTACAATCGTCGCTTGCCGACGACCCGGGACGTAGTGGCAGCACAAATTGTGTTCAGAGATGGTGGAGAACTCTGAACTAGAGAGGTAGATGGAGCCGGTGGACCCGGGTGGTGGCTGCTTTATGGGCGTGGTCGTCCGGCTATGCTGATTTCCATTCTTCAGAATCTAAAGTTCAACTCGATGGGGTGGGGAGGTCGAAGACAAACTCGACAAACGGTAGCAGGAGTGAATGGCACCCTCGAAGATGAAGTCGACGTCGAATTCCAAGAGGGAACAACACCCATACCAGGCGCGATACAGGGGCAACGGTTTAACTGAAGAAAATGCTCCACATAATCGTTCGCGTCCGCCGTTTGAGATTGCTTGAGAAGCACAACCAGCTGGTGATTCGCTGTGCGTATTGCGTGGAGTAGAGGTTGTGTCCCCCAAGTCCAACCTTTTTGGACCTCAACTACCTTTCACGTCATTCAGGCCCACGAATACCTCTTCACTGGAAACCTGGAATCAAGCAAACACCCTCAGCCGCGCGCTGCGCCCACCCAGCATCGAATACGACAATTCTAACAATAGAGGGAGAACGTGGAAGTGACGATGTAGAGTTAGTGTTGTCCGACGCATCGAGGGAAGTTTGTATGAGGGTAGGGATGAAGATTTGAAGTGGGGGGGGGAGGCAGTTGAGGCGGAAGACGAAGCTTTCGAGGTGGAATGGGGGGTTGAGGCGGAAGGGATAGTTTGGAGGATCACTTTTAGGAAGAGCCGAGGAGGTTCTTTGGGAACGGTCTGCACGCAGGGATGCTGGTGGGGTGGGCCATGTAAACTCGGATGGCGGGATTATGATCTGAAGATCTGAAGGGGCGAGGGAGCGCGAAGGAGAGTCGAAGCCATGCGATTATGGTGGGTTTCCTTCAACGAGTTCTGGTTTACACCGACGTAATGGTCGCATACGAGCACTTGTGTGTGTTTCTAGAGTCGTGGCCTGTGAGTAGGCTTTGAGCGGGACTTGATCATCACGCACATCTGAGGGTGGATTTTACGTTGTAAGAAAGAAGCTCAAAATTCGAGAGACGTACCTTTGTCTCAAAGTTTTATGTTTGTGGTGCAACTCAAGGCCATGTTGGACGAGGAGTGGATGACAAGGAGGAATGAATCACATCAGGAAAATCACGGGCACTTGATTTTCCCAGTTAGTATTTGTCATGTCAAAACAACGCGACACTGCCTTGGCACCTTTGATAATGCTATATATAGGTTTAACGATGATGTGTAAAGTAGGCAAAATATGGTAAGTACTGTGCAACAATTTCAGTCGTAGGCCCAACAAATGAATTATTATAAGCCATCGATAAAATTCTGCATTAGTTTGCTAAATTCTCGCAATCCTGATAGCCTAGTTACAGAAAGAGGCTATCAGCTTGAATTCTGGCAGACAATGACAAAGGAAAATAATTTTCAACCTGCTTTCCAGACCTCCTACTGCGACTTCCCAATATTCTATAATTGGTCACAAGGAGGATATAAACATTCTGCTACCAGGCCAAAAACATAAATTGTGGAGGACTTTCGAGAAGAGAAAATAATTTTTAACCCATTTTTCAGACTTCCTACAATAGCTCTATAATTCTGACAGCATGGTTACAAAAGAGGCCAACTTCTCAAATTGTGGCAGATGTATAACAAAAGTGGATAAATTTCAATCCACCTTTCAGACATCCTATAAAACTTTGCCAATGTTCTATAATTTTGAAAAACCTGGTTACAAAGAGGATACAACTATGTCAACAAACACATTGTGGAGGGTGCATGACAAGAAAGAATAACTTTCAACCTACTTTGCAGACCTCTTACAATGACTTGACAATATTCTATAATATTGAAAACCTGGTTACAGAGAGCATATAAATATTCTAGCTCTAGGCCAACAAAAAGAATTGTGGAGGGCACATGACAACAGAGAATAACTTTCAGCCTACTTTGCAGCCCTCCTGCAATCAGAGAGAAATATTTCAGCACTAGGCCAACAAAAAAACTTGTGGAGAACACATGACAAGAAAGAATAAATCAAGAATAAATGAACCTATTTGAACCTATTTTCCCTATTTCCTACAATGACTTTTCATTTGATAGCATGGTTACAAAAAGAGGCCAACAACCAGAATCATGGTAGACCCATACCATGCTCCAATGCAAATCAAGTTACACAGACTACTCATCAAGATAGAATAAAAAAGCTAGCATCGCGGCCATCGATGTTTGTGAGGTTGCAGTTCCCACGATACAATGCTCAACCACCTGAACCACAACAGTACACATAGCATAGGTTGATAAAAATATATAATATGTCTAACAGTACAATCTGGAGTTAGTGCGAGTCAGCGGGGAGGAGATGCAGGCACGGAAAAATGAGCTGGTGACGATTTATGGAGGAAAAGAAACATGCCTTGATGAATTGGTACGCCATCTGCAGTGTAACGTCCACACAATTGACATAGCACTCTCGAGCCTCACGGTGCTTCCCCTGTAATGCGAGGGCATTCAAATGAGAAAGGTTCTCCTCACGTCTCCACTTTCGATTAGGTTCAGTGTTCTTCTTGGCTGGAAGTGGACCGCCGTCAAAGATGATGTAGGGTTGAATATTGTGGTATTGCAGGAGCCTCATGCAGTGCATGGCATAGTCAACATATCTAATCACTGTAAATATTTGCTTTCATTGCAATGGACAAGTCATTACTCACTTGTGGGTATTTTTTCCTGTGGCCAGCTCTGTGGGACAGGTAAAGACACCCTTGTATAGCCAGACACATCCCCATCAGGCGAACATTATTGCTACGCCTGTCGGTAGTGGTCCTGTGTCACGCTCACACCACAGGTCATAAAGCAGACATGATGGACACCGAACGCGTATTCGCGACAACTGCAAGAGGGAGCACAGACGCAGAGACGTGGCCTGCAAATTTGGGTTTCAAGATGACTGGGCCGATACGCCAGTTAGATAACACCAATACCGCGACCAACGTTTCGACTGATACACCTGACGAAGATAGAGGGATGGCGAGGGAGAGCGTTTCAGTTGGCAGCCGGTCGTTGGCTGCTACCTGGAGCGATGGTCAATGTACGTCTCCAACCTCTCTGAAATCATGCGTTGAAACCGTTATGTACAGTGTTCTCTCTGCTTGGAGGAAAAGGGAGCAACCACAGATCATCAAGTCCAGCACTTTGTACAAGAGCCCAGCACGCTCTAAACACACAAAGAGGGAGAGCTAGACATCATGGGGCAGACTCCGAGTGGCCAAACATCAGCGTGAACTCGCATTTCAGATTAGTGTTGCCGCGGCTCGGCTAGCCGCAAGCCAGCTCGCTGAAACGGCGGCTTTTGCCGGTTCTGGTTTGTGATTGCTCGGGAGCCGATCAAATCCAGTTCGGCTCAGCTTAGCCAATGGTTTTGAGCCGGTTATAGCCGGTAAATGTTGCCACAATTGATGACTCGCGCATTAAGTACAGTGAGCGTAAATGTGTAATAAAATTCAACATAGATGTACAGCGTGATGGTATGTAAGGTTGCATACATTACAGTGAACAAAAAATAGCCCTCTCAATCATCGTCATCCTGTCCAACAACATGAATTACCTCATCAATATCTATACCATCCTCCCTAATCTCCGAAGTTAGCTTCCCTAACAAATCTGCTAAATCTTCATTGTCATCTGCATGGTACTCGAGTTCATCTTCTGTAACAGCCCAACCCTCCGTAAAGTTAAGCCGTTGCTGCTTGAGCGAAAATTTCAACATTTGAAGTGCCTCCATTAGAACAGGGTGAATTCAATTTCGCCTCTTCGTATCAGTTTCGGCACTGGATGAAAAAACGCGCTCGGAAGGAACCGAGGATGCTTGAATGGGTAAGTAATCTAACACCATCGCGTACAATATTTGATGGGTTTCCTCGCTTATCTGCAAACAAATCAGTGACGCAGATTGGAAAATAGTGAGACATTGTACTTACCGCCCAAAACCCTATAATATCCGTGCCACGCGGTGAGACCGTCCCATTTCCATACAACTCAAACTGTTCTTCAACTCCTTGGCCCGACGGCGAAGGAGCGCCCGAAACCTCCAACATATCTTCGAGCCCATATTGTCCAGCTAAATCATGCCAGCTTCGCCTCTGTTGCTGTGAGTCCGTACTAGATGTAGGTTGTTGAGCTTGTCCATGAAGACGGTCATGGTATTTTCGCATCTGCAACAAGTATATTAAGGGTACTGTCACCATAACAAACTGAGTGACTTACAGTATTCTTGATAATTACGATGGCCCTGGCAACATAATTAGGCTCCCAGTGTCGTCGAATCCATGACAATCGTATCGAGGGATTGAGAACTGGCCATGTCAAGTTATTAAATAATGTATGAATCTGAACCTTAACTCACACATCGCGATAACGTAGGCAGGCGAATCATCCATTTTCTTGTAGTAAGTTGTCGCCCACTGGATACCGATATCCGTCCATCGGGCCAAGCGGGGGTGATCTCTCCCAAGTTGCTCCCATGCTGTCATGAACATTTCGAAGGCGGGAATTGCGCCTGATAAAACGGGAGTGCGCTCTTTCGACATGAGTGTCTGTACTTGATGGGGTACCTAAGAGAAAGACTTAGCCTCGAACAGGTATCAATATTAGAGATGTACACCCAGTACGATCTCAAAATCCTGGAGTACAGCCCATTCCATATCAGTAAGTCTAAGTTTCGCAAGATCTCTATTGATGGGCAAAGAAAGAAAATGCTCGACGGCCTATTTTTATAAGTATACACTTATAAAACGATAGAGTTCAAACATACCAGGCGTAGTTTACGAAACCGATTGATCATGAAATAAAGAGAGTCCCACCGAACCTTCATGTCACGTACAAGTTGCGCCTGCTTAACTTGGATAGTCACGGTCGGATCCTCAGTTGACTTGAACCACCCTTTCTTGTTTCCATCGTCTATTACTTCCGCCAGGTGCTCACGTCGTTGACCTGAGGCGCGTACTGCTCGTACGGTACTCCGGCACAATGCGATTGGGTCGCGAACAACCGCTTCTTCATAAGTCTGATTATCAGGATCGCTTGGAGGGCCTGATGCGGATGCGATGAATCCCCCTGTATCATCTACCAGGGTGATGTTAGTAAAGGCTTCGATGACATGAGTTGAACATATGTTGGTAACGTGTGGGAAACATCGTATATGATTTTCCTTGTGATTGAACTCAACGTCGCGAGGGCGTAGAAGTATCTCAAGTTCTTTCAGGAAGGCATCGTTGAGCGAGCAGTTATCAAGGGTCCAATGGCCTCCCTGTCCACGTAAGCATAAAGTAGAAAAGGGTAAGAAAATGAAACATAGACGTGCCTTGACCGTGATCCCAACTCGATCCAAGAGATGGAGGACAATCCTTGCTAGCCTATTCCCATTGTGGCTTCCTCGAAGACGGTGAAATGCGATGAGTGTAGAACGCAGCTGAAGACCTTTGGTAGACTTGTCTCTATGTATCCAACGTGCGGTAATGGCCAGGTATGGGTACCGAGCTTTTGTTGACCAGATATCCGCCGTGTAGGAAATTTGCCCTGGTGCATCCTAGAGTGATTGGTGAATACAAGGAAACAAAGCGGTCAACCGAAACAACATACTGCTAATTCCTGTTTTAGGACCTTGAAATACGCCTCCCATGCCTTGATAATAAGTTCGCGCATCTTTGTTCGGCGGGGAATGTCTTTGTCCTCGAGGTCCTCACGTAAAAGCAAGAGGAGCTGTCGAAATTCTGGGCATTCAACGACGTATATAGACTATGAAGAAGTTTAGACTAATACCAAACATTAAAAGCGTGCTTTACTAACCTGATCATCCACAACGATGAAGTTCAGAAGATGCTGTAAAAATGCGTTCTGGGAAAAGGGAGAACGTTGCGTTCCACGTCCGGACGCAGGGGGTGTTCCAGTTTCGCTCTCGAGTGCAGCAGCCCAGGCTGTAGTTTTAGACCAAATTGACCTGGGATGTTCCACCTTATCTGTTTCCATAGGGTGTGCATTTGGCCACTGGCCCAAAATGCCATGGGCTGTGGAATGTCGGGATATTTGAAAAAGAGGCTTTCAAAAATAAAAACCATTGCACCTATAATAAAATATACCCTTAGAAAAGGTTTTCTGCTTATAATATCTTTCTACAGCATCTATTTTTAGCCTGATATGTTTATGATTCATTACAAATCTAAATATAGCTCACATGTGTTTCATGATTGAAAATTCCCAGAAATGGTATATCCTGGATCACTGATATGTTTTCTGTATGTTTTGACAAAAATCTCACCTCCTGGATCAGCATTGATGACTGGTATGTTTTCCTGTATTCTGTGGATGTTTTTTTTTGCCTGGAGAGCATCCAAATATGTTTTTTCTTGGGATCCAGAATGTTGGACAGATCTAAATATATATATGTTTTATGATTGAATATTCTTAGAAATGGTACATCCTGGATCAGCATTGTTGACTGGTATATTTTCCTGTATTCTATATATGTTTTTACATGTCATAATCCTTCTAAAAAAGCTGCATTTCACCAAAATATTCCAATTGTAATGATTCTCATTTTTCTCCATCAAAACTTGTGTTACAGCTACTCAAAGCAACCAAGTAATGTAGAAATGTATTTCCAATTTTTTCAGAAAATTTCCGCCTTGATCAGAGGTGTGGAGATGATGGATGCGCAAGTCATGTTCCGGATGACCTTTTGTTCTTTGATCCTTCTAGGTAACAAACAACCATCAACAAAGATGATTTCTGAGAGCGGATGCATGAAAGTGCACTTTGAGGGTGTCATTCAAGTTATTTATTCATATTTCTTCAATTGCACTTGGTTTCTATCATATAGTATGTAGTTTGTATTTCAAACCAGCAGCTTTTTGGATGGATGGCTCAGGCTGCAGCTGGATGACGTTGCCAAAGGCGTTGCCACATACATACAAATAGTTGGCCCAGATCTTCTATAGGCATGGTTATTCATGCTCTACACTTGTATTCAATGAAAAATATACATTCAAGTACTCTAAAAGTAGAACAGAATCCAATTTTTCATGTTTTACATTCACGGCGCCCTCGCAAGTGGATGGATGCAGCATAGTGAAGTTGGATGACGCGTTTGAAGCTGTAGACAAATAGATGCAAAGTTCTCAAAAAAAACATCAGAAAAACAACTGAAATTGAGCCAGGAGAGGAAGGGAACACTACACTGACATTGGTAATATATTAGTATGTCGGATTTACAACATTGGACTTGCTCCCTTATCAGAAGTTGAATAAAAATTGTAGTAAAAGAGCATCTCTGTCTGTAAATGTCAAAAACATATCATTCCAGCAACTTGTAAACTAATACATGCCAGCTATAGCCTACCAGCATTCAGTGCATAAGTAAAGGAATATGAGGACAGGCAGTGTCAAATTTTGAGTGAAAGAACACCTGAAAGTCTTGTTCCAACTTTTTTGATTTTTAGGAGGGTTTCAAAACATTGAACTGTGTTGGGAAATCTTGCTCTGCTTGCCTAATTTTAAGAAAATCTGATTTACCTCTTCTTAGCTAAAGGTGGGTGTTTATATAAAATTTGTGAGTACTGTATTCACTTTGATAATGAAGGTTTTGCTGTGAAAGCATTGAATAGGGTGTGTTTCTTCAGACTTTATCTATACTGTGTCCACTTAAACCATCCAATGACCATAAAACTCCATAGAGATCTTCAGAATGAAAAACTGAATGTATTCCCAAAGTTTTATGGAAATCAGAAGATTGTGGAGATACAGGTGGATGGGATAGATGCAGAGGGTCACAATAAAGCAATTGAAAGTGCCGGAATCTCAACTGTGAGATTGGAATTCTTATGACTTTTACTCCCCACTTGATGAATACATATTGCTACCTATCTTAAATGCCAATCCTATTCCTCAGATCCTCTAAATACATTTTTCTATATTTTTTTCTTCTCAATAACGAATGCAGGAGCGACTTATGCAGCTCTCCGTCAGCGCTCGGCATTTTCCGAGCGCTGTTGATGTGTGGTTGAGCATGCCACGTCGTTGCCAACTCTGCTTGTCTTCACACCTACAGTCGCGGACAGACAAAGTCGACAATTTTGATAACTTGGCAACCAATGAAAATTTTGGCAATTTGACTTCAGAATTGTGATCAACTTGACGAAATACGTCGAAAAACACATCTTAGAAGTTTTTCCCATGAGCCATTAAATTGGCCAAATTTTTGACCAAAACCAATGACATTCTATGTACCTCAGTAGGGCGGACAATGGCATCTAGGTGCATCATCGTGCTCTGGGAAATTGTGCGATGACCCTTCTGCTTGTGAACTGCCCACGCGGCGGCCTTTCCGGACAGTGGAACTCGATAAGCATCCATGAACCGCCAGGAACGATTGATGAATCTCCGAATGACATCAACTGGACATGAGTCGAGCGCTGCAAGTGCCGCTTGCTTCGCGACCTCGAATGTCTTCTTCTGAACTTGACGATAACAGTACTTGACCCATCCCCAGTACTGAAGAGCATAAAATTATTAGCTTTGAAGGGATTTATTAAATATTAGACTTACCATTTCAATTGGATTAAGTTCGCAGTGGAACTTGGGGAGGAAGATACATTTGTGGCCAGCTTCTTTGATGAGGGTCTCAAGCATCGAGACCTGGTTCGTAAAATCATCCTGCTTGCTGAGAATCCGTGCCATGCAACAATCATTGTTCTCCCAAGGGCAGACAGGGGAGCATTTAGCACGCTTGCCCGTGACATTGAAGCCACGCTCTTCCAGAGTTTGCTGCAAGCCCTTCTGCTCGCCTGTCTCCGTTGTCATTTTCTGTACCTTTCCACGGAATTCTGGAGAAGGGTTAGTGTCCGGAATAATAGTGTCCTTCTGGCGGCGCTGCTTCCCGCCATTGGACTTATTCATTTCGAATGCTTTGAGAGCATCAGGCGGCAAAGCCGCATGAGCTGAGGATTGATCGAAAATAAATAACGCCTGGCAACCAGGATGCGCTTCTTCGAAGATGGGAATTGCCTTTGTCTTCACCTGTTCAATTAGCTGTTCGCAATCCCAGTACGGATCGCCGTTTGATCCTGGATAGATGATCTTTCGGGCCTCTTTGATCACGATGCCGTCAGAATTTCGGACCACCAATCGCCTGTTTACCTCTTCAACCCAATCAGAAATGTGAATTAAACGGCCACGTCCCTTTTTTTGTAGAATTTGTTGACCATCCTTTAGCCTTGTTACGAAATTTATCAGAAATTGAATGAAAAGTTTACAATGTGTAACGTACCAAGCCGTGGATTTGTGATCATTCCCCTGGCAGCAACTTTCGTCTTGAAACTCTGCTATTAACTCTTTCTCCAGGCAGTAGATTTGGCTCGACGCGCTTCAGCTCAGGTCCTTCGTATCGTGCCATTCTGCGTTCGAACTCTTTCATTTTTGGGAGGAACACCTTCTCGCGATATTCAACAACGTCTGCGCGCTCGTGGCCATCCATATATACGCCCTTTCGAAGGACCGTCCGTGTCCACCCCAATTTTACGAGCCATCGACGGGCGGTTCGTTCGCAGAGTGGCTTGCTCGGAGTCATACCCACTGACGGTAAGATAATATCGTTCAGTGCATGCCGAAATTTATTCGGAGTTATTGATCCTATGGGTTGTTCGGTGAGCCATGTTCTTGATACTGTCCGAACGACTTCCTCCTTCAAAAGTGAGCATGCATTCTTGGATCCTCCACGGCGCTCCTTTGGTAGTTGCTCGAATATTTGATAATGCCGTGCAAGTGCGTGGATCCGCCGGGCAAAATAAATATTTGATTCGTCCTTTTCATGCCATTGCCGTGCAATCTCAAAACTGGCTTTGACTCTCCCAAAACCCGAGCTCTTTACTCTCCCCCACCTATTCCTACCGGACTCCTACTGGATTCCCGGAATCCTACCGGACTGGACTAGGACTGGGACACATTTTATGTTGGCTGATCACCATACAAATTTTGTATCCTAGTCCTAGTGGAGTCCTAGTAAATTCCTACCGGACTGAACCCAAATCACCAGGAATTGTGGAATTCTACTGGATTTTTAAGGAATGAGTCCAGTAGGAGTCCAGTACAAGGAGTCCAGTAGGAGTCCAGTAGGAGTCCAGTAGGAGTCCAGTAGGAGTCCAGTAGGAATTTCCGGGGACAGGGAGCCCAGTAGGACCAGCAGTTTGTCACTGTTGTTGTTATTATATAATATAATAAAAAAGCGCAACCTGACAGAATTGAACTCTCGACCTTATGGACATAGGGACAATACTATAGAGACAAGCACTTTACCAGTTACACTAGGAAGGCATTATTATAGGTCATTATTATATGCTCTATATACCAACGTACTGACCTCCTTCCTAGAAAGGACGTCGGCGAATTCCGCGAGTGGGAATTTTGCCCAAACCCAACAACACTCGACAACACCACCATCACCACCCTCTTGCTCACCCACCACGAACACGTCGCCCACCACGACCACAACGGACGACGACAACACGCGACCACGACAACAACGACGGCCACGACAGACGACAACAACAAACGACCACGGCACGTAACGACGACCCCACTCACGGACACGACAACCACCCATGAACCACGAGCGCCCGCCGACACGACAAACAAGAAAGACGAGGGACAGCGACCCGCTCCCACCCGCCAACGACGACCGTAACACCCACCACCACAAACGACGCCCGCCACCCACGAAAACGACAACCGCCGCCCACGAAAAACGCCCAGCGCCCATGAACGACAGCCGCCGCCCATGCAAACGACAAGCGCCACCCACAAAAAGCACCCAGCACACCCAAACGACATCCGCCGCCCACGAAAAACGCCTAGCGCCCACAAACAACATCCGCCGCCCATGCAAACGACGACCGCCGCCTACGAAAAATGCCCACCGCCCACAAACGACATCCGCCGCCCTCGAAAAACGACGACCGCCGCCCACGAAAAACACCCAGCAAACCCAAACAACGACTCAGTGTATCTCTCCTCCCTGTCTCCTTCTCTCTGTTCCCCTCTCTCCCTCCCTCCCTCTCTCCCTCCCTCTCTCTCTCCCACCATCCTTCTCTCCCTCCCTCCCTTCCTCCCTCCCTCCCTCTA